ACGCGTTAAGAGGAGCATGTCTTTTTTAAACAAAGGAGGAACCATAATAAGATAGCAGTAATGCATGGGGGCAGACTGGGTTGTGTCGTGTGATGAGTTCGCAGGCAATGAATAGAAAACAATGGAATTACGAACCTTAGAAAAACTGTACGATTTCAGTAAAATACAATTGCCAACAATTGCATCTGACACCGCTATATGAGAATTATGTTTTCAAACTTGGATTTCATGTTGGCAGTGAGTATTACCTGCCTTCTATAATACTCGTACCTTTTACATGAAACAGTAAAGGAAAAGTTCTTCCCTACCAGTTAGAACGCAACCCTATCTTGAAATTTGAATATATTATGCAAAAACTTACCTATTCCTTCCTTCCCGCTTCGTGTGCTCTACCGAGTGAACTTTTGGAGAGCAAGGCTGCATAAAGCAGTTTAATTATTTTAGCAAATGTCCTGTCTTCTCGTTTCAGCTAACCTGCGGGAGACCTCAAGAGAGGTCAAAGTCGAGACGAGCAAGAAACTCACCTCAGGCTTCGAGGAACAGTCAGCTGCTAATGGTCTACTAACCTGGTTCCACATTATGCTGGGAATCGCCATTTTCGTCTGCATGACCCTCCTCTTCGTCTTCCTCGCAATCATCCTTCATCGGTGAGTTCTGGCAAGCGCAGAGTTTTGAATTTCCCAAATGCGTATTCTACTTTGTTTCCTTGTTGAATTTCGGGTATAAAAAAGATTGGTTATGACTAGAGAACGTACCACTTATTATAAACTTCTAATCGTCAGACCAGGTGTTTACTAGTCTGAATTTTATGCGTCGTTAAATATGTCACTGAGCAAAATATAACCTATGACTTGAGCGGCAAAACTGTGAGGCTTATAACGTGGCCTAGAGATTAATATAATGGTTCAATAACCAGACATCAGTGCAGAAAACTTGATCAGATTACGACCCAGCTAATCGTTCATTAACCCTTAATACTTCCGTCATCGCTGGCATTAAGAGTAGTGTTAGGATAGCTGATCATGTTAAGAGGTTTCGCCATGGTTGTCATGACTATGATTTCCGATCAATGTAGTTTACATAGTATAATGGGCAATTGCGGAATGGAAACGTCCACATTGGTCTCTGAAGGGTAGATGGCCACATGCGAATTTCAGGCCGGTTTCCAGTGTATGTATGACCCCTTTGCATAAATGATCTCGTCCTCTGACACCTAACTAATGTTCCTGTATGCGGTTTGAGACGGATTTCCCAGTCTGGCCATATAAAAGTTCAGCAAAATTGGCACACTGAATCTTGTAGACAACACCCTTTCTATCAAATTAGCCAACCCCCTTCTTAGGATGTAAAAGCTGTGTACGTAAGCTAGTTGTGGACTGGTTTGCTACTTACATCTGATGTGTAATTGCCAAAGTTGGCTGAGGACACAAATACGTAGTCTTCGAAATGGGACTATGCCACCTGGGCACATTTTATTTATTTAAAACATAAAGTTTAATAGCTTTGCTTTGGAGCTTAAGACCGGCTTAGGTGAGTGCGTCCGCATTGGACGGTTCCCTGAGTCGTCGGAATTAGACTGCCTTTCAGGGATCTTATTGCGCTCCTACGCATCCAAATGCAGTAACCAGTTCTTATCTTTTTATGCTGCGTTTCCATTTGGCTACGCTCGTACACCACCCGATTATTGCCCTGAGACCTGTGCGATGTTATCGACCTCTAGTGTGGCCCATTTTCATGACTTTTTTTCGGACATGAATAAGGGACGATTTAGGCCGTGCTTTTTTCCACTTTGTATCGACTTTTACGGAAAAGTGTTAATAAGATGAGCGCGAACAATATGAAGCAAAATTTCTTTAATGCATACTAATACTTGTAAAGTTAATGTTATAAAAAATTAACGAGTGATGACTGAGGGTATTTTTTTGTACTCCTATGGCGTCAGTTCTACGCCTCGTCGTCCGTTAGAAAAGTAAAAACATTAAGGATTCATTGAGCCAGTATTGAGCTTTGTCGAGCACTAAGGCTTCCTTAACAGTATGCAGATAGCTTTAGGCATAAAGTCCGAGGGATTAAAATTTTCAAAATGTTCAGAAGAAAGTGCGAGGTCATTATCAGCATGAAGACCCTGTGAAAGGATTAGGCCTTGTTAAAACTCTCAGAAAGAAACAAAGCGTGATGATAAATACATGTCTACAGCTGCATCTTCACTGATTGATTGTGACGTAAAATAGGCCATGGAATTTTAAAAGCACCCCAAACTTGCGTTGCAGTCTTGTATTTTCGGCGTTCACCCGTTGTTAAATAAAGCAGTCCACAAGCTAACAAAATGAGTACTGGCCTTTTTAACGTTCATTTCGAGCTAGCGCGGAAGCCCGGCTTCGCCTTGGGCTTCCTTACATGTTGTTGTCCCTTATGTAGGCAAACTTTAG